ACTACACAATATATATATATACACACTACCCACATATAAGTATATGTATAAACATGCCACACACAAACACATACTTCACACATAGATATACAGACCACATACTGACACACATATACATCATAATCACACATGAGACACATCACATGATACCGATCACATACAGACAAACATACAGACACACCACAGACACATATAGACATAGCACACACGTACAGATGCATACACATAAATAGTACACACAAACATATATACATACACACCCCACACACTATCCACATAAACACAATACTGAGGCACGCACACACAGGCAAACTCAGATGCACACACCACACCCAGACACAGACTCCTTGACCACAGCACACACGGTGGGGTCCCCGCAGCCAGGGCAGCCCCTGCACTCTGCCCTGAGAGGCCGCGAGCAGGTTCCGGGTGCTGCCTGCGCTGTCCCGGCTGCCGCCCCAGAAGCACGCTGTTTGCTGGTTGGTTGAAGGGCTGGGTCGGCAAGAGCAAAGTGCCAGAGGGCAACAGTAAGGACGGCACCCTACTCACGTTTTGGGGAGAATGTTCCTAGCTAATTCGGAAGGCGGACACAAGACAGCAAGCGCCTAGATGGAAGGGTTGCGTTTTGTGCAGCGAACGCGTTCAGCACATCTTCTGCGTATTGGCGATTCTTCCGCCATAGCCCCTGCCCAGGGCTTCGGTACGGGCCACCCTGAGGGCCTATCAGGGCTTCCTGTCTCCCTAAGGGAGCAGGAGCAGGGACACGCTGACAGGGAGGTGTGGGGCAGCCAGGTCCTTGCACCCGGCCACATGGCAGGCAGAGCTCCCCGAGGATGGGTAGTCCCCGGTGGGTGTGGACATTGTACCCTGGGCAGTCTGAGGTGGAGGGACTGTCCACTGCCACTGAGACAGATGGGCTACAGCCGCAGTTTAGGGGATTGTATGAGCTCATCTGACCGGAGCAGAGAGAGGACGGCCAGACACTGCTCTTCACTTCTTCTGGATGAAAGAGAGCTATCTATGCACAGGCTGCCTTCTTCCCTCCTTGTTCCAAGCAGGACCATGGTCACAGTAAACTGAGTCACCAAAAGGCTCCCAAAGAGTAACAGCTTCACTTCTGTGCAGTGGTGGGTTGGACCCATGAGGGGCAGTGGCCAGAGGGACAGGCCTGGGGACTGATGTGGGCACAGCTGAGTCACCCACGAGTGCCCCTGGGCTTTGTAGCACGGCTCTGGGAGAGCGCTTTCTTCCTCACAGGTTAATTTTGCAAAATTATGAAAGAGTGAATGGCCTCAGATAGATGCGTGTGCAGTGAAACGTGGAAGTACGGCTGGCTCCCCTTGCTGTATCCTTTGTTTGAAGGACAGATTGTATGTGTTGTGTGTGTGTGCTTGTGAAAGAACATGTTCTGTGTTACAGACTGCACCCTGATTATCCCCCAAATCCCACATGCTGACAGCTTGGCCCTCCGAGGGTGGCACTGGGACCCCACTCCTGATCTCTGCCTCCTGTCCCCACCGTGCTGCACTGGGAAGCAATGGGCCAGGGAAACATGGACCGAAGCCTTTGAAAGCAGGAGCTGCAATGAGTTGTCTCCTCTAAGTTGATTTCCTGAGGCACTGCCACGGGGACAGAAGCGGACAACACAGAGAGCAGAGCACTGCCCTCTGAGGACCTGCAGGCCAGGTTGCTTTTGGTCAGCAAAGAGGGGGGTAACAGTGCCCTGGCATGGTCCGTTGGTGAGTGTGCCTCCCTCAAGCCCCAGCTCCCACTTGCAGGGTGCAGAGGAACTTGTGTTGCACTGTGTCCTATGTCGAGCTGGACACACGTCAAGCTGGACGTGGGGTACAGGAAGTTCTCGCCACAGCACTGCTTAGAGCACCGCGTAGGCCGATGGGTATCGTGATTGGTCTTGCCTGGGAATTGACTCAACTGCATTTCCAGAGTTGTTTAACCTAGGAAACTGCCACACAGCCTCTCTCGACCTTCCCAGCTCCCTGGAGGAGACTTCTGAAGCCTGCTCAGTGGGTGCTGCCGGCTCAGGTGATGGTGTGGGGACGGCAGGGCAGTGAGGCCCCAGGGCTGCGAGCCCAGGGGGTACTGACCCTGGAGGCTTGTTGTTCCTGGGCAGGGTGTGGTGGTGCACACTGTCATTTCAGCTACTGGGAAAGCTGAGGCAGGAAAATCTCAAGTTCCAGGACAGCCTGGGCAACTTAGTGAAACTCTTGTCTCAAAATTTGAAAAATTAAGAAAATCACTACTTTGTATCCTCTGGAGCAGACACATCTCCACAAGCCACTATCCAACGAAGAACGTGAATGAGACAGTGCGTACCCCTAACTAACAGATAATCAGAAGCTCACAGAAGCTTTCTCAACTTCTTCCTTCCCAGAATGAGAACATGTTCATAAGCACTGAAGTTGCGATCCCCCCTTCCCCGTATCTGAAAGACAAACCCAAGTCTCACAAGCCCTCTCTGCTTGAGCTGTGTGGAGTGACCCTGCCATGTCATGCTGCCATGGTAACTCCTGGGGTCGCAGGGCTTCCCCTATCTGGGGGTGAAAGTGTGGAAGCCGAAGGCCTGTGCTGTCTCTGGAGTCCTCCCCGCATACTGCTGCCGATCTCAGAATCCCTCCCAGGGCGAGCGCATGAGGCAGGCACGCAGATCTGGGCATCCACTGACAGGCAAAGCCGTGCTGGCTTTGCACACTCCCTGGCCTAGAGGACTCCAAGGCTCAGCTTTCACCACCTGCCAGAAGTGATTGCGGAGACCAGTCTTCGCTCCTTTCCACTGTCACCCTCTGTCCTGGAGCTGTGGCAGTCTGCCACTCCCAACCACCCCTCATGGTCATTACTGACTTGGATGACAGGAGAAGAGGAGCCTGGGGCACAGGAAGGGAGCTTGTGGCTCAGAGTCCCTCTAGACCTGGCCTGGAGGTGGCAGGAGAGAAGGGAAAGATGGGGAGGAGGTGTCTCTGGGGAAAGGGCTGTTCCGCATTGACTGTTAGGTGATAATGTGGAGTGGGATGCAGTGGGGTATGTGTGTTGATGTGCTACCCCATACACTGCCTGCTATGTATGTTTGTGCAGTATGTATGCGTGGTGTGTGCAGTACGTTTGGTGTTTAAAGGGTATTTTTGTATGAATACGTCATGTGTATTTGTGGGCATGTATATGTGTGCATGTCAATGCATGTGTGAGATTGTGTATATGTGCCCGTATGTGCATGCACACATGCTTCAATGTGCATACACTGTGTGCATGTGCTTGCATGTATATATACATGTGCACAATGCAGTGTGTGGGTGCATGTACTTGTACACACAGATGCATGTGTGTGCTTGTACATGTATGTATGTGAGGGAGATCTCTTTTGAATAGAAGATTAGGGCTCCAGGACCCTTTCCCTGTCTTGCCCAATGTTCTTGGGATTCACCAGAGAGAAGAGAGAGCTGGCACCACATGCCACTTGATGCCATCAGGGCTTCCTTTCTGGTAGGGCAGGGTGTGAGCTTGCAGGTCCTTGCTGTCAAAGTCACCACCCAAGGACAGGTCACGGGCTCTCCCTGGGGTGGGTGGGGCTCCCCATGCGGCCTCCTCCTTCCAAGGGGCTGGAGCTCACTGCCTCTATCTGCCTTTTAGAGCAGGCATGGGACGCAGCCTTCGCAGAGCATGTTCGCAGGACACGCTTGCCAGCTGCTCAACACCAGTGGCAGTGCAAACCATTCTACCCTCACTGCTTCTGTGACAGTCACCACAAACCTAGTTTAAACATTTTATTAAAAATCAGTCTGAGAAAATCTCCAGTGACAAAAAGTAGCTCTGAAATAAATGCAAAACGGGCTGCACTGCTCACCGGTGGCAGCTCTGCAAGAGGCTGGGAGGACGGACAACTTGGTAGCCACCGCTGCAAGGCAGAGTCCCAGAGGACACATCGGGAGGCCACCAGAGATGTTCATGGGTGACATTCACGTGAAGTCACTGTCCAGCAGACCAAAGCAGGGCCGGGCACTGGTGAGCCAGGCAAGACATGCTCAGATGCAAACGTGTGCCACAATTCAAACCATGTGGGGATGAGGTGTTGCCACAGAAACAGTTGGTCCTGCAAGGGATGAGGTGTCTGCAGCATCACAGACAGTGGGCCTCTGTAGGCAGCTGGATGACACACCTGCTACAGAGGGGCCGAGGGTGGCACTCAGATGAGCCAGCACCCAGCAGACAAAGGCAAGCACACGCTCAAGCCGTGTGGATACCCAGGCCAGGACAGATGCTCCAGGACCCTTCTATAGCGTGGCCCTTCTGGGCAGGGCTGTCTTTCCCCACCACCCTGGCCTGAGACCCCAGAGACAGGAGAGTGGCTCTCTACAAGAGAGCCCTCTCACATTGGCTACCTGGGGACTTCTGCACATCATAGGCTGCCCTGCCCATTCTGAGGAGGAGGACCCATGGCCTGGCTGGACAAGCTGTCTCAAAAGAGGTGAGGCCTGAGTCATATTCCAGACTCCTTCATAAAGGCTGCTGCCAAAGAGGCTGAACAACCACACCAGAAAGAAGACCACAGGGCTCTGCCACTCCACACCCAGCCTATTCCCAGAGTCCATGGACTCTACTGCTGACATGCGCTTGGGGGCAGGCAGGCCTGCTGGCTGGGCACTGGGGCCCCCTCAGGCTTGCCACTGTCCCCAGGCCGCTCAGCCAACCCCTCCTCTCAGGACAGCCTCACTGCTGGGATCTGGCCACTAATCTTGGTTACTGCAGGACTCTAAATGCATTTGAAGGAGCTGCTTACTGAGTTCAGCATGCAGGGACCCTCCTCTTTAACAGAACAATTAAGCCACTGGCGCAATTCCCAAAACTGAATGGTTTATAAAACTCTCTTAACCCAAGTTCTACGCATGACTCACATCTCCTGGCTCTGCAAAGGTCCCAACAGTCCCCTTTCTTCTGCCTTGCCTGGCTGTTAGGGGGAGGGGAGGGGTCCTCTGTAAGCTAAATCATCTTAGGAGTGAAGATGTGCCCAAGCCTGTGTCCACTGAGGCAGGAATGATGGCTGATTGACTTTGGAACTTTCCAGAGCCTCAGCAAAACTTCTATCAAGGGGAGATGCCTTTGCGTAAATAAACTCTAAGTGAAGGATTAACTAATGGAGGAGACCAGAAGAGGATTTCTAGGTCTTACATCTTTGGTCACAAGCCACACTTGGTGAGGCCTGTGTGGCGAGGGCGAGTATAGAATGGATGCGCTCTTGGGAGCCCCCTTACAGAGGCCTCGGAAGAGGGGGAGCTGGTACATTCGCTGTCCCCGTGTATCCACCTCGACGTGTTCTGGCACAGAAAGAACTGCCCAGGTGCCACAACTTGATAAGTGTTCCCCAGCATTGAAAAGCACGAGAATTTATGAAGTTTTACTTCATAGATGACCCATGCCAGGCATTTAGTGACAGTGACAGACCATGGAGGAGGAGGGTGTGCACGGGCAATTCTGAGGAAAGTGAGAATTCTGGCCACCCAGGAGGGGCAGCTGGCCTCCCCAGTGGTGGTGCAGGACTTCGGTGACTGGTCCCTGTCTGGGCACACGAGGGCAGTCCTCAAGGCAGTCCGCAGCAGGGGGTATTCGGGGACAGAGCCCAGCTAGGCCCCATGCAAGCAGGGCTCAATCCCCCAGATGTCTCTTGGTTCACGACGCACAGCATGCGCAGTATGCAGGCTCCCTATATACCTACTTCTTGTTTAGAAAGAGCACTGGTCACGCTTGATCCTTGTAAACTGGTGGCACTCTCCCCACCTGGTGGCCTCTCTGATCTGTACCCTCTACCCCCAAGTCCCCTGTGGATTTAACTGCTGAAAGGCAGAGCCTGGGACACTGGAAACCACACAGCCCCAGCCCTGAGGGCAGAACTGGAGACTGATCGCAGAGGTAATCTGTCAGGAACACCACACAGAGGAGGCAACCAGGGAATCCGGGGCTCGGCCCTCTCCCGTGTGCCGTGCCGGGCTGGGGCTTGCTCCAGGAGGCCGAGGCGGGCGGCTTTCAGAGTCGTCAGTGGGGTGCAGGTCACCCCAGATGGAGGGAGAAGGAAACCCTGAAAATCTGTTCGATCGAGTACATTTTCCTGAGCTCGAGCGTCTGACCCAAGGCAGCTGCAGACAGGCCCGGAGCAGCTAGTTAACCACGTCGTAATAGTAGTTGCGCAGGCGCAGTTCCACAGCCGCGAAGCCAGGTCGCTTTTCCACCCTGCAAGGGGAGAGAGCTGTCAGCCATTGCCAGTGCGTTTGCACAGAACACCAGCAGGGAATTGGCAGGGGCGCGGGTCTGCTGTGCCCCCCAGTGCCCTAAGTGCTCCCCGGGAGTCCCCGCAGGTTCACACACTCAGATGTGCACATGTATCAGAGCCCCAGGGCACTGCGGCCACCTCGAAGGTGCTGAAGCTTGTGCTAGAGTGCAGTCTTTTTTTTTTTTTTTTTTTTTTAATGACAGGATCTCATGCAGTTCAGGCTGGCCTTGAGCTCACTTTGTAGCTCAAGCTGGCCGTGATCTCTCAAGGATCCTCCTGCCTCAGCCTCCCAAGTGCTGGGATTACAGGCACACGCATGCCCGGCTTAGAGCTGAGTCTTCCCCTAGGTCAGAGGCAGCCTAGCCATCACCCCAGCACATGCAAGGTGTGTGGGGCTACCTGGTGGGTAAAGACACTGCACACAGCTAATGCCAGACTCAGAATCTCCCTAAGAGCAAAAACATGGCAAACTTAACTCTCCTAGGGCCGGCAAGATAACTCCGTGGACCAGGGTTCAGTCCCTGGCACCCACATGCATACTGGCCCCGTCCCCGCCCCCTGGTGTGCTGAGCCGGGCACAGAGACCGCGTGTGGGGTCACACGCCTGTAATCCCAGTGCTGGGAGGCTGAAAACAGTAGGATCTGTAGGAGTCTGAACGGCAAGCTGCATAGTGAGAATAGGTTTTGAAACTGTCTCATTGCTATTTGTTTCTCAATGAAATTTTTTTTTCTCAATGAAATTAATAATAAAAAAAATTTTACAAAAGACCCTGTACCATATTAAAAAAAAAAAAAAAGAAACCTGAACTCTCCTCCCCACACCCGTTGACGGCTGTGGATCTCCTACTAAAACGCAAAGCCCAGCATAGCTGAGGTAAAGGCCCAGACCTAATCACATGTAGCAAGGCTTACTGTTGGCCAACTGTAGGGTAGAGGTTTTCACAGTCTGAGGTCTCCACACACACGTGTGGGCACTTTTGTTTTCTCTAACAAAGCACACTAAATGGGGGGGCTGGTCCCAGGAGCCCCTCAGAGCCCACACCCAGGCATGCACCAGTCCCTTCCATAAAATAGGATGGTGTCTGTTCGCATTACTAGATTACTTGTGATACCTAACAGGGTGTAAATGCTATGGAAATAGCTCTTAGGTTGTGCTACAGAATGAACTGTACATGTCCAGTGCAGTTGTACTTCTGAGTATTTTTAATTCACAGCTGGTTGAATTGTCAAAGCAGAACCTGCAGGTACTGAGTGTCTGCTTAGAAATTACTTTTGTTATTTCACAGACTTTTGGCTGTAAGGCAAGCAGGTAAAGTCGCCAATAAGTGAAACAGAGCTCGAGGCCAACCTGTCCACACTCAACCATTCTGACTTAGAACAACTACAATTTCATCTGGTCTAGTAAGATAATTGCGAGTGGCCACAGGACATGCCCAAGAGCCAAACAGCCCTTGCTGTTGCTGGAGCAGTTATTTCTTTTTCTTTTTTTTTTTTTTTGCGGAACCAGGGGTTGAACTCAGACCCTTGTGCTTGCCAAGGAAGCACTTATTCCACTGAGCCATCTCCCCGGCCCCTGGAGCAGTTATTTCTGTAGATCCAAAACGGGTAGCTTTGTCAAATGGCATCAAAATATTTGGCATCTCCTATAGCTTTCTAAGATATGGCAGCTGATACTGCCTAGTGGGTCAGAGGTGGGGACATTTCAGATGCTTGTGATGGCACTGGGGATTCTGTGACACCCTCCCTACATGGTGGTCCCATAGGATTAGATTACCCAGGGACGCGCCATCTTAGTCTGTTAAGTACATTACACGGTGTGAGCACAAAGACCTAAGAAAGCACTTTCAGGATCCTGCCCTTAAGTGACATGACTGTATCTTGCAGCAGTCCATCTCTGTCCCCACCATAGGAGACGGCACCCTCCTGACACACAGAAAGATGGAACTGATGCTCTTTGCCATGGCCAGGTGTGCCCTGCCTCCCAAGCCTCTGCACAGAGCACAGTGCTAGGTACTCACTCGTACGTCCAGCACAGGTTCATCAGCTCGTACATCTCTCGTGGACACCCGGCAGGGCAGCCCATCCGCTCGCCCTTCTCCAGCATGGCGGTGACTTCGCTTCCTTTCATGCCCTAAGACATGCAAAATGCACAGGGGCCTTTAAGACACCACCTCAGCCAACGGAACAGGGTAACAGGCCTACTCCAAGACAACGCACACTGTGTAATTTCAGCTGTGCAGATTATCAAAGTAGGAGCTCGTCATCTGTGGTGCTGGGGTTCTGGGGGGTACACATCGGGGAAGTGCCCAATGGGCAGCAGAAGGGGCCTTTGAGCTCCACCCTGTCTCCTCACCTGGGGGCCAGCTTCCTGCTACGCTTACTCAGCAGTGCCCTTCATCTGTACACTTCTGGCCTATTTTGAAATTTAAAAATATCTTAAAAATGTAACCGGAAAAAAAAGGGTGGGCCGGGGAGATGGCTCAGTAGAATAAGCACTTTCCTGGCAAGCACAAGGGCCTGAGTTCAAGCCCCAGTTCTGCCAAAAAAAAAGTAACTGGACTGTAAATTGGATGCTGTCACTAGCCATCATGTGGTCTCAGCTCTAATGAAGGATGGTCTGGGTATATATGCTGCGAATATCTATATGTGTGACAGTGAAAAAACACTGTCCAGTTAGTGACTGTCTTTTATTTATTTATTATTTTTTTTACAGTTCATTATAAAGTGAGGTCAGCCTAATTGCCCTGTGTCAAAAGACTCCAAGAAGGGGCTTGTATTCCATGATCGTCACGTTCTTGTGACAAGCACCTGCTGCTTGTCCTAAAGACAGTAAAGTCAGGAAAGCACCCTGTTGTTAAGAATGGTTTATTCAGCTGGTATGGTGGTCACTGCATGTAATCCCACTGCTCCAGGAGGCACAGGCAGGAGGATCACAGGTTGAAGCCCAGCAGGGGCAACTCAGTGAATTAGCGGGACCCCATCTCAAAGAAAACAGGGCTAGAGATGTAGCTCAGTGTGAGGGCCCTGGGTTCAATCCCTAGCACTACAAGAAGATGAGGAAGAGGAAAAGGAGGGGATGGTGAGGGAAAGCGGGAGGGAAGGGGAAGAGGACAGGGCGCCTCACACGGTAGGGCTTCTGGCCATAGGAGAAGGCTTCCCACATCAGCACGCCAAAGCTCCAGACGTCGCTCTTGCTGGAGAAGCGGTAGTAGTTGATGCACTCCGGGGCATACCACTTGACCGGCCACTTCCCGTGGGTCTGGGCCTGCATGCGAAGCAGACGGCAGTGCAGGTGAAGAGTGAGGCCTGTGCACTCATGTTCACTGGCCTCTTCACCCCCAGTAGCTGTGACACAGGACAACCCAAGTGGGCATCAGCAGGTGGGCAGACAACAAAGGGTCCTTCACATGGACTGTGGAAGGAGCTGAGGCCAGTAATGTATGCTCCACAGGGAGGACACTTGTGGGCCTCACACTGCACGAAAGAAGCCAGCCCTCAAGGGCCAGCACTGTGCAGTCACACGTAGGAGAGCAGCCATGTTCCTGAGCAGCTGGCAGCAGTGCTGCCCATGGCCCAGGAGGGGAGAGGAAGCCAGGTCCAAAGGCCGCCAGCTGCAGCTTCCCAAGATGCAACGCGTCCTGCAGGCGGGCTGGGGGACCACTTGAGAGAACTCAACATTGCTAACCCACATGTAAAGATGACGGTAATGGCAGTTTTATGCTATGTGTATTTTATCACAGTTATAAAAAACAATAAGATCATGACCCAGAAAATGTTGTGTGGATGTGCATGTGTATGTGCGTGCATCTGTGTGTGTGTGTGTGTGTGTGTGTGTGGAATGAATATTAAAAATACTATTTAATTTTCAAATCTTAGACACTAATTTTAGTACTTAAATGTACATTTTAAATACTCATAACAACAAACTACGTGTGGTCTTGGGCTCTTTCCTCTGCTCCGACTCTGGCTGCTCAGGGCTTCATGGAGCAAAAGAGGACAAGGACAAGCCTTGTCTGGCTCTGTCCTGATTAGTGCCAGGAGACCCTGGCTGTTCAGGAGCACCTTTAACTCCTCTTGAATATCTATCCACCATTTTGAAGCTGACTTTTTTTTTGCAGAACCAGGGATTGAACTCAGACCCTTGTGCTTGCCAGGGAAGCGCTTATTCTACTGAGCCATCTCCCTGGCCCCTTAAATGTTTTAAAGTTGATTTTTTTTTTGCAGAACCAGGGATTGAACTGTCCACCATTTTGAGACAATGCTAATAATCATTTTTGCAGACTATTTTGTTATGTCATTTAAAAATTAATATCAGATTTCTTTAAATGTTCTAAATTCCTAATTTAAGAAATCCAGGGATAATAAAAGATCAAAATTGAACAGAGCAAACCCCTTCCTTTGGAGTCTGGGTCAGGGTGCTCCCTGCTTAGCCTTGACATGGTGCTTGCAGACATCACCCTTCAGCCTGGGCCATGTCCTCTAGGGACGACTGCAGTGGAAACTGGTCCCACATCACCAGCGTGGGTCAGAAGCGGCAGCCCAGGGCCTTCGTTCTGGACACAGGAGGTGCCCCCCAGGACTTCTCAAGGTGATGCGGCTGGCTACTTCTCTCTCAGCCATGGGACAGATGATCTTTCCATTTGTATTTCAAAAGATGGGAATGATATGGTCATGTATGTTGGTTCAAGTTTACTTTGAATTTTGAATGGATAAGAAAGTAAACCTTTTAACACCCCATAAATATGCTGAAAAGTTAGTCTCTCTCCATTGGCAATTCCAGCCCTTCCTCCACAGACAAAGCTTAATAGGAGTGGTGTGTGTGTGTGCATGTGCACGTGTGCGTGCGTGTGTGTTACCAGGAAAACCGTTCTTATCCTACAATAATGAAGTAAAGAGAACATTCCCCTTTTTCTTGAGATCCCCCAGCCTGCTGCTCTGAGCCTCAGCGGGCCCACTCCTACCTTGTAATAGTTTTCATCAGCACCCAGCGCTTTGGAAAGTCCGAAATCACTGATCTTGGCGTAATGCTGTGTGACCAGCAACACGTTTCTCGCAGCCAGATCCCTGTGCACAAAGTTGCACTCCTCCAGATACTTCATTCCCATGGAGACCTGATGAACCAGCTCTATGATGTTCTTATCCTTGACATGCCTGAAAGCCAGGAGGGAGTCGTCAGTCACGGTAGGCGGTGGTGCTTTCAGAACGAACAGTTGCGCACCTCACGCACCCGGAGTCTGCACACTCCCTGACCTTAAAGGAGCAGAGCTGTGAGTGGTGACAACCTGTTGACCTGTAGCTGGTCCAGACTAAACACCAGCCCTGGTGTTCAGTGCGTTCTGTGCTCAATGCGTGCTTTGAATTGCATGAAAACATTATAGGGGGGCTGTCAACCCTGAATCTTTGTTCTAAACCCTGAGCTGGTAACATAGCCAGTGCTGCCTTTCTCACCTGTGAGGGAGGGGCGGCAATGCCTCCCTTACATGGAGGCCAAAGAAATAATCTAAGTATACGACAAACAAGGCAGCTCAAGGGATGAGCTGAGCGGTGGCCACCACGCAGTCTTATGTCAAGTGAGTTTTTCCACCTCAACAATTTATATCATTATTTGTGTCTTTTTTTAAAATAAGAATTTTCTTGGTTTATGTCTTATGCTCTGAAGAACTACTCTGAAGATACTGGTACACAGTGTAAAAACTGTAACTATTCTCTTACTTGACTATAAAAAATTATTTTATTTTGTCATAAAGTCAAAAAATCTGAACAGGAAAAAATAAACAACAGCTGTAAACGAGGATAGTGAGATCACTGCCCCCAGGTGTCACTGGGGAACAGCACCTGATGGTTTTGGAAATGATTGCTGTGGGGACTCTGATGTCAACCAGGCAATGGTAGACACAGCCATGAGCACTCACAAAATGTTGGCTTTAAATATTTCTTCAGAGAAAGCAAGGTCGGCCTTGCCAGGGCAGACGCCTTGTGCAAGTAACCCGAGGCGGACCCCATCACTGGGGCAACAGAGTAGCCCCCAGGAGAATGAAGATACAGTTATAGGGCATGGGGATTGTTTTCTAAGCCCCAGAGCTGCTCTGCTATCCTTCCTCCCCTCCGGTCCCTGAGTGGGGATGGAAGTGTTCGAGAATGGAAGGCCATGTGGATACCAGGCACAGTGCAGCCCAGCTCCCGTGTCCTCGGGGCACGCAGCATACCTGTTCTGCTGCAAGTACTTGTTGAGCGAGCCAAGCTCGGCCATCTCCATCACCAGCATCCAAGACTCGGCTTCACAGATTCCTATCATGCGCACGATGTAGGGGTTGTCGAGCTGCTGCATGACGTTGGCCTCTGCTAGCAACTCGGCCTTCAGAGCTGGGTCATTGGCCTCGTTCTTGAGTATCTTTACAGCCACTGTTTTCACACCTCTGTAAAAGAAAAAGGCTAACCCCTAGAAAAATATTTTCTAAACATAATTGTCAGCAGAATGTTGCTAGGGAAATATCTGGCACAGAACAGACATGGAGATGCATTTGAGGACGCCTGGATACATGACCAATGAGCCTCCAACTCCTCTCTTAGATTACAAGAAATAAGCACGTCCATTACTTACAGTAATGGTAGGACCAGTGCTGAAAAATGCACCATATCAAACTAACCCCGTACACTGCCAAAATACACAGACTCCTGTGTCTATATTATGTGTGAGTATATGAATATAACATTCCTTTAATATGAATTAAAATGAATTTCTGGGTATGAAATTAGAAGTGTACATTGTCAAAATTCAGTTTTTTAAAAGCACCTTTTTTGCACTGAGCTTTGTTAACTTGAAGCAAACTTCAGCAAGTGTGCAAAAAACTAATTTTTCATCTTTTCATAAAAATATCGCCTTGAAAATATTCTGATAAAGCAAGATTTAAGTGACAGAACAGAACTGAACATGATCTGAAAAACCGCACCCCTCTGCCATGAAGTTTCCGAGGTGTGGAAAGCATACCTCTTTTGTTGAACACTCAAACTGGAGAATGAAAACAAACAAGCCAAATAAAACAGTAACAAAACAAGGCTGACCACATATAGAAAGCACACACAACCTTAGCGGGTGCCACTGAGCACAGCCCAGGGGCCTTCTATACAGATGGGGCAGAACACTCCCAGCCTTGCATCCTGCCCAAGGACGGTGCCACTCGTTTAATGCCACTGCTGGGCTGCTAGTTGTTCTGCCCTTGCATCTGGGTCTACTATCCATCTGAAATTGATTTCATGTATGGTGCAAGGCAAGGGTCAAAATTAAGGAGCAAGGGCTTGTCAGATAGCTCAGTGAACTAAAGTGCCTGCTTAGGCAGAGGGCAGCTGCCAGGGTTTGATCCCTGGCTTGCCATGCCATCCCTGCCCTTGGAGCGCACTGAGACTGGGATGTTGTGGCACACGCGTGTAAATCCCAGCACTTGGGAGGCTGGAAACAGGAGAATCACTACGAGTTTGATCTATGCAGTGACCCTGTAGACCCTGTACTAACTACAAAAAAAAAAAAAAAAGAAAGAAAGAAAGAAAGAAAAAAAAATAAGGAACAAAACTGCTTGATTTTTCCAAATATTACAGGAAGAAATGACACCACAAACTCTTCCAGAAAAACGAAAAGGGAGAAAATACCCCAACACATGTTATAAAGCGATGTTATTCTAAATGCCAAAGCCAGTTAAAGAAATTTCAAGACAACAACTGACTGATACCCTTCATGAACACAGGTGTAACATTTTAAGAGAAATATTTAGCAAACTCAGATTAGTGATTTATGAAAAAAAAAAGGTAAAAATGAATGCATGATGGACAAGGAGAGTTTACTCTAGGAATGGCAGGTGTATCCGGCATTTGAAAGCCAATTAGTGTAATGCACCACATAAGCACAGTGCATGAGTAAAACAGCACGGGGATCTCAGTGGAACAAGTCAGTACATATTCATGATCTTAAAAGCCACTCCAAAATGTAGGCCGAAAAAGACACTTCTTTAGTCTGATAGAGAACAATTATAAGTCAATAGCTAGCATCACAGACAGTGGCAAAATACTGGATTTTCCCCACACTATCAGACATAAGGCTACTCACAATTACATAAAAAAAGGCTCTATAGCTCCTAGCCGTGCAAGAGTAAGGAACAACACACACAAATACAGGGATTGGAAAGAAGAAACAGAACTGTCACTATTCACAAGTGACCCACTACAGAGAATATCTAACTCTTAATAAATAACAAACTCAACACTGTTGCTGCCTCCTGGGTCCATGTGCACAATCAGTCATAGCTCCATATGCAAGTGATGGTGGAGATTAAGAAATAAAAAATTTTAAAATAACACCCTATATATTAGCCTCAAGAGTGCTAAATATCAACGAATATATCTAACATGTTGTTGAGGACCTATACACAAAAACTAAGTGAGTCAGCAGAAAACCGTAAAGAAGCCCGAAGTCTACAGAGCCTACTATGGTAAAGACATTATTTTGGCCCAAATTGACCAAGAGTGCCTTTCCTTTCCCTGAACTCTGCAGCTAAAACAGTGTATCCATAATTATGTATATTTGGGGGCTGGGTATTTGGCTCAGCAGTAGAATGTTTGCCTAGCAAGCTGGAAGCCCTGGGTTCAGTCTTCCACACCAAAACCAAAAAATAATCCTTTCCTTAAAAAAAAAAAACACCAAATCAACCAAAAAATACAGTAAAATAAAAAAAGACCAAAAACAAGGCAACATAATTTTGTATATTTTAATTCATGTATTTAAACAAGGACTTTTTTTTTTTAAGCTGGCTCAGCCCACTCTGGAGGTGGGGCTGGCATAGCACATGCCTCGGAGCAAATCGTGGCTCCTGCACTTGCCTAAGCTTGCCTAAGCAGGCACTTTAGACCACTGAGCTATCTCACCAGCCCTAAACAAGGAATTTGAATATGTTCAATGAATTGATTTTTTTTTTTTTTTTTTTTGTTTTTTTTTTTTTTTTTTGGTGGAACCGGGGATCGAACTCAGGCCTTTGAGCTTGCCAGGGAAGCGCTTATTCCACTGAGCCGTCTCCCCGGCCCCACTATGTTCAGTGAATTGAGAAAATAATGCCTAAATACATAAAAATTAATAGTTTTAAAATGTGATACTTGCACATGTATTAAAAATGAACATTGGGCCAGGGAGAGAGGTCAGTGGCTTAAGCTCCTGCCTGGCAAGCACAAGGTCCTGAGTTTGATCCCCAGTACCAAAAATATAAACAATAAATAAACAGGAACATGATAGCCAGTGGAGTGTGTGTGTGTGTGTGTGTGTGTGTGTGTGTGTGTGTGTGTGTGTTTGCACTTGCACATACAAGATGGACAGCCTTGGAAGCAAGAGTTTTTGTGCATACTTGGGCCTCTATGTTTTTCATTTTCTTTTTTATGGTTCTGAGGGCTGAGCGCAGAGCTTTATTATGCCTTACCACTAAGCTGCACCCATGGCTCTCATCAATACTTTTGTCCCCAAATCATGTAAGTTAGCTACTCATGTAAAAAAATTTTCACAGAATTTCAAATAGCATAAACAATGAACCCACTCATATCCATATTAGAATCACGCCTAGTCAAAGACAAAGTTGTCTCAAAGGAACTTAGAAACCAGCTTTTCTACATGCATGCTTTGTAAAGACCAGGTAAAATACGAAGGCAGTGTAATAGTGTACTAATTTTAACTATTGTATAAAAACATTATTTTTAAAATTAAGCCATAAAGCCAAAAAATTATTTTAATAGTTAGAAATGAAGAAATTTCTGGGTAAGAAATATGAAACACAGTAATCAAAGAAAGCAGACCCCTTATACTGCTCCTGAATGGTTTCATTTCAGTGAGAGTAAATGTGTGCATATAAGGGCCTTAAAACAGAACAAAAATACATAAAGATTAGTTAAGAGTAGCTGCATTTGGGTAGTCAGAATAAGTTGTTCTTATTATATGTTTCTTTGTTTGTATTTCCTAACTTTCTGTAAGGCATGAAAACTAACATACTTATCTGTTGGCAGTATGTATAGAAGATGCAGTCCTGGTAAGTGTACCAGGAATGAGCAAAAAGTATGTTAATAAAACACAATTTTGCCATGTTGGGTTAAATGTGTATGGGATTCAATGGACATTATAGATGTGCTCTTAGACCTTTCTAGAACGCAGCTCATGTGGGGACAACAGCATCATGAGGGAGCACCCTGCCTACTTCTTAGACGTTTCTGGAACACAGCTTGCACAAGGACACACTGAGTGAGAGAATACCCCACTTACTTCTTCATCTGGTAGTGGCCCTTCTTCACAGTCCCAAAGTTCCCGGAGCCCAGTTCACTTTCCTCCAGGGTCAGCAGGCTTCGGTCCAGGTAGACCTCTTTGGGCCTGATCTCCTCTGGGTCTGCATAGGGGCTCTCGTACACTTCAGTGTCCATGGGCAGAGGCTCTCTCTGGGGCTCTGAAACATAGTCAGGAGACAACCATGGGCCGGTCCTTTGTGAAGACTCAGGGGTCTCCCTGTCCACCCCTCCCATGGTCACAGGACCACTCAGTCACATTGAGAAGTTAGGGTCCAGCTGAGAATTGGAGGCCAAATTGGCAGGCATCAAAAATGGTCATCTAGAGATGGCAACAGGACACATGGCCCTCCCATGGGGTTGAGGTGGCTTTAACTAGGGCTGAAATCTTTTTGACACCCCACCTATTGAGCAGTGGAGTCTCTGTTGTCTTCCTGGGGTTTTATAACTGTGCATACTGACAGACTACATCTAAAGCTATTCATGCACATGACTTCTAGAGTGAAGCAGCGACGCAACATCTATCTCCTCAGAAACTGTTCCTGGAATCTTAGGAGAGCCCTGGGTGCTGTTTGCTGCCCCAAGTCTGCCACATTGGGAGAATTCCAGACCAGCCCACTCAGAGAACAACCAGATGGCCCTGGGACCAACTGGAGTCAGAGAAGCCCCCAGCCTCACTACCATCTCTGCCACATGGGCTCCAATTTTACCTCTGTCTCTGTCTCTGTCTCTGTCTCTGTCTCTCTCTCTCTCTCACCCCCTCTCTCCCTCCATCCTCTCCCTCTGTCCATCCCTCTCTCCCTCGTTTCTTTCTTTATGATATCAGGAATCAAACTCACAACCTCATGCTTGCCAGGCAGGTACTGTACCACTGAGCTATATTCCCAGTCCTTGGGCTCCAATTGTAATCTGAGAAATAGACCCAAGCCAGGTCCAAGTCCCTGACACACAGGAAATATACCTGATTACCAGTTTTGGGGGTGCTTTGCAGCAATAAACAGATTCCAAGTTGATGAATAAAATAAACTTAGGGACACCTCCAGAGCCCAAGACAGACCCCCAAAGGCCCCATTTCTAGCACCAAGTCAGCGCCAGTGCTCTTCACAGTCAGTCCAGCTCCCTAAACACAATGAGAAGTCTAGCAGCTCAGCCATTCTTTCCATTACCAACCGTGCCTCCACTGCTGGGTGGACACCAGAGCATTCTGAGAACGTGGAGTTCAGAGAAATTCAACCGAGGGTGGACAGCAGGTTGCTGGAGACAAGGAATTCTGAAGAGGCAACAAGAACATTGCCAATCTGACCAGTTTGTTGGAAAGGTCCTTTGTTGTAAAAGGCCACTTTATTCAACAGAACTGCCTCATTTATGGACACGTGATGCCTGCTGCCTGCCACTGGACAGTGGCATCCTCTGCAAGGTGCTCCCCTACAGACAGCAGGGTGCACCTGAGTGCCGGCCCAACAGGCCCAGAGGCGACCATGAGCTTTGCCCTGAGAATGCACAATGAGTGAAAGTATATTCTCACCTCTCTCCGGAGCCCAGGCCCCTCCTTCTGGCTCATAAGGATTGAAGGATGCCACGCTCTCTGGCCGGTTCCCTGGGGATGTGTGAGTCTGAAGTACATGAATGATAGTGTGTCATTTTTCTCCACTGATGCAGTACAGGGTGCATCTGAGTAATTATAATTTATTTTCAAATATCACAGTTTAACTGAGGCAGGAAAGACAAAGAAGAATTAGGAAGGAAGAGAAGAGAGAGCCACGGGTTATCTCATTTTTGAAACAGTTATTTGGGGGACCCTTTGGGTCCTCAAAGGGTGCTGTGGGTGACCCCACTCTCCCTGCTGGGCAGTTCCTGGCCCACACTGGCATCGGTTCCCATGCTGCCAGCCTTCCAGAGATGTGCAGGGCTTTCCTGTTCCTCTTCTATTCATTTTCCTCTCTTAACTCTTGTCTCTCTGATTTTATTTTATGTGGAAGTTACCTAAAAAGGCAAATTAACTTTCCATGCCTGCTTCTATTTTTTCTCAATCTCAGGGTAGGTGTGAATTCCCATACTAGCCCAGGGTTCCCCCTGGGTCTTCATCTTCAGTGGAGAAGGACAACATGTGGGTGGAGGACAGTCCTGGCCATTCCTAATGAAGCCTGATGTCCCAGCCCCACCGCAATGTGCCCCAGTGCTGCCGCCATTGTTGCTCCTACTGGTCATGGCATGAGGGGCTTCTGCGATGGGGAATGCTGTGCTACCGGAAGGAGTTGACCTTTCTGCCACAGGAGGTAAGAGAAGCACTTCTGAATTACAGCTTCACTGGCCATGACTCTACTAGGTATTTAACTAGCATCAATTTGCTTCATGAAATAACTGGGAAAATGTGCTCATACTGTTAGGATTCCCCTTCTAGCATCCTGAGGTGAGTTGTGCCGATCGAGCCTCACCTCCACATTGAGTCAGGAGATTTCTACTTAGTTTACAGGAAAACCAAAGCACACTTCAAATCCTCCATTTTATTTGTTGGCTTGTTTGGTCTTGGTTTTGGCTTGAGCTGGGTAAGAACTTGATACAGTCATTTACCTTATCTGTGCCCAAACACTGGCTACAAAAATGAGATAACACCCGATTTCACAGACACTTAAAGACACAGAAGCAGTAAGCTTTACATCACACAGTCATTTACATAGCAGACCACACTCAGTCCTCAGCTGTGGTGACCTTATTGATAGAAAGAGCTCACAAATACATCAAAGAGCTGCCGTGCCAGGGCCTCGTGGCTGGGAGGCCTCAGACACCCTGGCTTCCCCCTCACAGACAGAGGGCGGCACTGCCTATGGTGCTGAATGCCCTTTCGGGGAGGGTAAAGGGTTCCTGATCTTACACGTCAAAGGGATGCTGTTAGAGCCACTCTCTCACTGACTATCTCAGCAATCTTACTGAACTGTTTAATGAAAGCTACCATGATATACATCAAGAATGACAACAGAAGTTCCAGGATGTACAGACCTTAAGTCACTGTGTGCCATACCCACTCTTAGAGCCTAATCAAAATGTGTTGTGCAAACACATGGGTGGATGGATGGGTAGGTGGATGGACAGATGGATGGATGGATGGACAGATGGAAGGATGGAAAGATGGATGGATAATGGATGGACAGATGGATGGATAATGAATGGACAGATGGATGGATAATGGATGGACAGATGGATGGATGGATAGATGGATGGATGAACAAATGGATGGATGGACAGATGGATGGATGGATGGATGGATGGATAAGAACAAATCCCTTCTTATAATTGAGAGATGTGCAGTATAAATTAATGTGATTTAAAAATGAGTTACATTTCAAACCTTGGTACTGATAAGTTCAAATGGTAATTTACCTCTTTTAAACTTTTGTGTATTTCAAGACTATTGGACATGCTTTGATTCACTTCTAATTTATAAAATACTAGCCCTGTCTCAGGAGACCTCTCTAGCAGAAACGAGGTGTTCCAAAGATACTTCAGCCTCTCCACTGCCTCAGTTCCCTTCTGCAATCATACTCTTGGTGGACAGCAGCTCTTTAAAGCAGTCTTTTCAGGTTGAGGCTTAGGATCACTTCAACTCCAGACTTTTCCTGAAGGCAGGAAGACCCTGAGATCTCAGGACAAAACCTGTCAGATGTGAAGCTAAAGGATGACCCAGCATGAGCTCCCCTAGACAAGGAGAGGGGAGCCCTGCCTTCCGCCCACTCAGGGCAGCATGTGGGGGCCATGGCCTTTCAGAATATTCTCTAGGGTAAGCCAACTTCAAGAAGCATGTTACATTTAAACAAGAATGCAACTAACTAACCTAGGAATCTTGTTGGGGAAAAATTTTAAAACAAGTGAAGTTATTTTCAAAAATGCCAAAGAATAAAAGTCTATGAAGCCTAAGAAGCGGTACAGATGAACTCAGAGAGCCTAAACTCTTGGACAGAAGTCATTCATGTTCTCATGGGCAGCGCATTCGCACCTCAGCAGACTGGGTATCTTTGGAGATTTGGGCTCCACATTTTCATCAGAAGTGGCTCAGGGTTTAGTTTGTGTGCCAGCCAGCACAGAGCACTGTGTCCTGAGGAGGAGGCTCCGTCGCACAGCCACAGAGAGCTGCCACCCCCTGGACCAACACACCCAGACGCCTCAGCCCCCAGCCGCTTTCCCTTCTGGAGACAGATGGGCCCCAAGCACAGGATGGCACTCCCTGTGGGGACATGCATGCTCCATAGCAAAGAGCAGCAGTGACTTCTGGGAAGATACAAGATACAGTGTTAGCTCCCTGAAGGCTTTAATGAACAGGCTGCTGAGTGGAACCACAACCACCAACACCTCTGCAAGCAAGTGCTCAGTTGCAAATCAGAATTTGAAAACTTTGCAAAGGGTGAGCACGAGGGAATAAACATAAACCTACGAAAGTATGGAATATTATTTAAAGTTTAATGAAATATTAATTTCAATAAAAAAGATATTATTGGCACCATACACATTACTATTACTAGTCATTATTCTTTTTGTTCCATATTAGATGAACAGATTCTGCCCCGTGGACAGTATCATCTTTTCCACGGACAGAACAAGGGGCAAATGAAACCTCAACTGTTCTGTTTCCCCATGTACAACTGCAGGACATCACTAGATGGCGCCAGCTTCCTAGAGTTCTACATTTTTTTAAAAACGGAATTTGGACGTGCAGAGACAGCAAAGCTACTGTTTGTGTGGAACAGGCAGGCTGATTCAGAGTTGCTTGGCAAGAGCACTGCCAAGGGATATTTTGGATTGTTTTTTCTAGACCTTCATTTTTGCTCCCAGGTCTCTGCAAGACATTTTCAAACTAGGCAGCAGAGGCTCTGCAGGGGACAACATACTCAGCTGACTACAGAGGGAGCAAGGGGGCTTCAGAAACTCTGACCGCTAAACAGCAGAGTGGAGAGGAGCAGCCTCCCGTGCAGCACCCACTGCAGCTCGGAGGGCAGGTGCACCCTGCAGGCTGGCCCCGGCTGGGGTGGGAAGCACAGAGAACAACCAGGAAGCTACGCAATTGGCCTTCTCTCATCGCACAGTGAAGATCAAAGCCTGACCCTCCATAACTACCTAGCAACTCAACACTCATCAGTGTTGCCCACTGCGCAGAGCGCACTGGAGAATCCTATTTATCTTGCTTCTCACTGAGCCGTAGTAAATTATATATTTAGATGTAAGATTTCAAATATCTCAATTATGAATATATGTGTTGAATAAAATATAAAAAATGGGTTTTAATGAGAAATTCTATAACACATCTCAGTCTGATCACTTTAGGCGATTTTATTTTATTTTTAAATGTATTTAGTACAGGGTCTCACTACACAGATTGGATCCTCCTGTTTTCAGCCTCCCAAGAGCTGGGATTACAAGTGCATGCCACCACGCCTGGCCTCAATTGCCATCTCAGCACCCCGAGGGTGGGTCCGGCATGGCACACCAGGGATTGAATCCCCGTTGCTGCATCTGCCTAAGCAGGCACTTTATCTGCTGAGCTATCTGGTCAGCCCTAGGATTTTAGAGAAAATGCACCTGGCCTTCAATTTTTGTTATGAAATTTAAAAACTATCTAAGAATTTTACAAGCAAAGTGTAATTTTCCTTAACTGTTTAGATGCTAGAGTTAAATCAAGCCTTTCACATGTATTTTTATACTTGAATTGTTAAAAACAACTACTGACATTGAGCAAATGTTAGAGAAAGCTGTTTACTCCTTAGCATAACAGGTGGAATATTTGACATAATTCCCACAATTCTTTTCTCATATCTTTTGAATGATGGAAAAGTTTCCCAACTATATGTGAAAACATAAATATCAGTTCTCCTGAAATCATCCTGATAAACAATTAAAAGGTTTTGAGTCTGCTGGGCCACTACGAAGTGGCTGAGCGAGGACTGACATTAATCAACTGGCTTTTCATGTTTCCTTGTAAGTCTGGCCCCTTGTGTGGAGACGGCAACCTCTACTGGTGGGTGAGGCCCTGGCACTCAAAGGCCAAGCCAAAGATACAGCTACAGATACCAGGCTCCAACCTCCATGAGCTAAAGACTGTGACTGCAAGTATCTCACTCCTTCGGTGAAAGGCCTTCCTGAAGACAACATAGTTCTCCTACATTAATGTAAGACGTTACCTGGAGCAGTCCTTAAAGGAGTTCCCAGGTCCTACCTAGATTCCTACACTTTTCTTCAGTATTCCCCTCCTCTGTTTGATAACCTAAAATATAATGGGCTGCCTAGAGAAATCTTAACCCTGAGAATCGCAGATTCTGCAGAGGGTTTTGATCCTCCTGGAGCCCTAAAATCATCCCATTTGCCTCGTTTATTCAAGCCTTCCTCATCTACTCGTTTGGGAGACTGCAGGCCTGATCAATCCACAATAACTAAAGGAAAGTATTAACACAATGAGGCCACAATTTAAATTATGGAATTCTGCTGTCTTATCGATTACCTACTGATATTTTTTGACATCTATAAAAATTAATGCCCATTTTCAAGTTATTATAAATTTAAATAGGCAACCATCTTTTTTGCAAGGAAAAACATTTTCACAATATTAATTCATTTGTAACATTCAACTGCTTAAAAAAATATTTTAGTAGGTATAAGTTTCAAGGAGGCACTACAGGGCTTGCAGCGAAAAGTGGGTTTCTTTATACCCTGGTTTGTGGAGACTACTGGCATTACTAGTATTTATTGCCTGTATTTTTCCAGGCTGTTCAAGCCTACCTATATATCTACCTACGACTTTGTCATTTATAGTTTAACAGTATAATCTGGAAACAATTCTAGATCTCAGCTTCTCTCAGTGTAGCAGTTTTATTGTAACTTACTTATTTCCCAGTGCTAGACATTGACATTATTACCAGATTATTCACAGTGTTAGAATAAATACCATCATATATACATGATTGCAGAAAATTCAAGATCTCTTTTTTTCCTGTATTTAGGACAGGGTCTACAGGGTCTACAGGGTCTAACTATATAGATCGGACTCGTAATGATTCTCCTGTGTTGAGCCTCCCAAGAGCTGGGATTACAGGTGAGTGCCACCACGCCCAGTCTCAATTGCTGCCTCAGTGTACCCCGGGGCAGGGCCGGCATGGCACACCGGGAATCGAACCCTGGCCACTGCACTCAGCTGAAGCAGGCACTTTAATCTGCTGAGCTACCTGGCTGGCCCTCAAAATATCTTATGATGAATATCCAGAAAAGGAATTACAGAGCTGAGTTTTATAATACTTTTAATTTTGATAGATGTGATGTGGAAGACTTGTCCTTCTGAGAGAACGAATTATTTCCTACCGCTCGGGTAAAGTGCAGAAGAGCTCACCTGCCATACCCTTGTGACACGGTGTGTTCAGCCGTTTACACTGGATAGTTCTGCAGGTGGAAAGAGTTGAGCACCACAGCTGTGTTTCTCTTATCGCAAAGTTCAACACCTTTTCACATGTTTAAGAACTAGTTATTTTTGATTTACTCTAAGTTACCTACTGACATTTTTTGCCCTTTAGACGATATTTTCTTAATGATTTGTAGTCTCTTTAGACATTAAGGCAATTAATTATACACAAACACATGCACGTGTGTGTGTGTGTGTGTGTGTGTGTGTGTGTGTGCATGATTACTAATATTTACTCTCGGTTTCTTACTTTTCTTTTGATGATATATTTTTACTGTGCTTATTTCTTTATGTAGCCTACTGACTGACGCTCCAACTTCCTTTCGTTCTCCTGTTGCCCTAAGACACACTGACTCTGATCTAGGTGCGTCCATAGCTGCCGTGAGTGACCCGAAGCTGCGAAAGCCGTTTAGGAAATGACAAAACGCATTCGCCTCCTCAGACTGTTTTATTGGTTTTTTGGTGGTGATGGCTTCTTTTAGTGTGAGGTTAACCAGAGGTACCGCTATTGAATCAGTCAGCGGTCCAGTGCTGCTGTGAAGCTGTAGTCATCTTCCACAGTTAAGGTTCTATGTTAAAAATCTGACTAGACTGAAGGAATTGGATGAACAGTAGGCAATGAATTAATACGCATCAGAATTCTAATTCATTATTCAATGTTATTCGTTTCTAGTGAGCCAGGATAGTGAATTCTCATTCTCTGAATCTCACGGCAGTAATGGAATGATGTAGCTCTCAACACCTACAAAATCAAAGTCTGAACGTTCTCATGGGGCGGTACACAGTATCTCACAAATCCCTGGCTGTCCTCCCGCACAGTGTAACGTTCATAACCCACTACCGCGATGCTGTGCCATTGACTCTGGCAGGCCAAAAGAAGCTCTGCAGCTGGGCATGGTGACACACACCTGTAACACCCGCACTGAAGAGGCTGAAGAGGGAGAATTGCAAGTGAGAGCCCAACCTGGGCAACTAAACGACTTAGTGATAAAATGAAAAATAAAAAGGGCTGGGGATGCAGCTGAATGCAAAGGTTTTTGGCCCAATCCCCAGTACCAAAAACAGAAAAGTAAATTGGTTTTTTTTTTTTTTTGAAAGATTGTCTGACCTAAGCTTTAGATGCCACCGATCTTGCTCACCAAAACAACTTGAAAGCTGCACGTTAGCAGGCAGAGCAGGCAGGCAGGCGTTGCTGGACTGAGGAGCGCGTCACTGAGGACCCGGCAAGAAGCAGGGATGCGCCTGGGCAAGCAGGGCCCAGAGCATCAGGGGCACATCAGGGCTGCACACGGCGAAGAGAGGCGGGCACAGAGAGCAGGGGCGGAGGCGACGAGGCCAGCGAGCACGGGCTACATGCGGATCAGTCCTACCACTCAGTCAGGGACAGCAAGCAGGAGATGCTTTAGCACCTTTCTGTGGCCAGGCTTTGGGAAGGAGTATGATTTGAGTCTGGAGAATATTCCACCCGCTGACCAAGGCTAGAAACCATAACGGCAAAAGGAACAATCAATTTTCAGTTTCAGGAAACAAACCCAGGACAGTTATGTGCTGTGCTATTGAGCTCCTCTGTAGCCATGCTGCTGCCCCTCTTGGCCCCACTAGTGAGACCTCCTACTTGCATCTCTCAGTCATCTGAAACCCTTCTGGAGGAGCCCATCATCCCATCTAAGGATCTAGAAAAATATTTGGGAAGAATTTTCCAATGAAGGCTGGAAATCAGAGTTGACATCATATTAAAGGGCACAGTGAAATCTCCCAAAATGAGGAGGAAACTAATGTCTGCCTTGACTATAAATCCATGTGTTGCTTCCCATGGGGACTTATGACTTCATGAGCTCCAAACAGATAACCAGGAAGAAACTGCTGCAGGTCTGCCTCAGAGTGGCATTGCTTGCACAGGGTGGGCACTAGGTCCCCTAGGTTGATGAAGGGTCACTTCACTTGTGGAATCTGCATCTTTTTCTGTATAGATTTTACCAGCCAACAAAAAGTTATTCCAAAACATCTAACTTGGAAACCACTGGGTGATACAGCCAAATCTAAGGCTTCCTTGTCTTCTAAGAGTTCTCAGCCCTCAGTCTTATCTACCTACAGGGAAATGGGTCTCTCTCACAAGAATGTGTCAAGGAAGAGGCCTGGTCCATGAGTGGGACAAAGCATCAAAGCAGTGAGGACTCCAGAAGAGAAATAGGATTTGTGATTCCTCATGGCTTGCTTTGTTTTGTTTTCTGGCAATGTTAAGGTCTCTCATCCCAATACCAAGCATTGCCTGGGGTGGTCTGAACATGAGCTCAAGGTCAGTCCTCTCTAAGTCTACCTCCAAGAGGTAGAATGTTTATCTGGCTTTGTGTGAACACCTTTTTCAAGGGCTAGCAGGTATAGTGGGCCCATTTCCCTGATGGTATTAAAGGACATGGAAAGTCTACAATGAAGTCTCCCAAAAGGATGAGGAAACTAATTCCTACCTTGACTATGAACCCATGTGTTGCCTCCTAATAGTCTGGAGGACATGTCCACGTCTGAGTGGGAGGAGACACTCTCATTTCCCAGATCTGGTGGGAGGTCTATTCCTGATTTAGCATGGGTTTCCTCATGCTTAACACTTTTGGAAAATGAAGGGAATTTAATAGAGCCCAGAAATTAAGAACACTTGGCTCGCTTAGCGCTGACAAAGGCTGAGTGCACCTCATCTCATTAGCATTCCCAGTTGATCAAGGGGGACATTCAAAGTGCCATCAAAACAAAACTGCTATCCTGTTAGCGTAGCCTGCTTTGAATTTGTGAGAAGCCATAACTGCCTCAGTGCCCGTGGTATTTGTGGTGATGACACTTACCACAAGACTGGAACTCTGTGGAGGAGCTGCAAAAGTAATGTTTTCTGATTAGAAAGGGTCCACACAATTGCTACCTTAGTGAGTATCCCTTTTCTACTGCAGAACAATGGGTCTGACTGTAATACTGTTGCCTGAGAAGACCCAGTTTCTGTGCCTCTTTCAGGGGCTTTTTTACCCATGGATTAGGTTTTGAAAAGTGATTGACTAGGTTTAATTCACGATACCTAAAATTGTAATGCTCAGACAACCCATTTAGTCCTTTTGTAAGAACAAGGTCTCATCCAGCCTGAGCTTGGACTGTACCAGACCTGAAACAAAGCCGATGGTAACCAATATCCAAAACACAGACACTCATATGCCTTCGCAACTCACCGGGCTGTGTGCCAATTTTTTGACATGGAACTGTAAGAACTCTTAACAAACCATCTGGCTTGTAAGAGTAATGCTCCACCAGCTGAAAGGGAAGCAAGTGTGGTCAGCAGTTGAGTGAGACATGGGGAAACAGTGACAGAGACGCAGAGTCCTTGTTGGGCTTTAAAGTACCCCAGTGATGCCTCCAGACAGCTCACCGTCCACGGCAGCTGGAAGAATGGAACACAGCCACAAATGTCTTTGAGAAGGAGCCAGCGAACAGTTTTATAAATGTCCAGGAGGAATATTTTAGGTTTTGGGGGACCAATACCATCTCTCTCACCTTGTCATTCATTCATTCACTCACTCACTTACTCAATCACTCACTCAAAACAAATCTTAAAAGCATACGAATCACTCTTTAGAGACTACATAAAATAGGACCCAAAAGCCAGACTTGGCATAAGGATTTTTTAGATTCCTGAGCTAAAGAATAACAAGAGCGTAGTGTGCTTACTAACTCTCAGAGAAATCGTACTGGAGCTCTGGAATTGGATTAAGGCTTAGAGAGACCTTGCTGTGCTATCTAGAACAAGCCATGTGATTATGCATGTAAAAAGATGCAAGGTCTTCTAAGGGTCAGTGGGCCAGGCAGCCCCATGGGCACATGCTGTGCCTGAGGGGTGAGGGGAGGGCAACCTGTACCTGCCAGAGTGTGTCGAACTTCTTCCCCTCAGGGATGGACAGCTTCCCCGTCTTGTCTTTGTCGATGCGATAGTGCAGCACCTTCCCTTCATGCAACAGGCAAAGGGCGTAGGAGCCATTGTTGTCTCTGGCCCTGATCCTGGAAGACAGGACACAGTGACATCACCCTGTGAGGACCAATCCTGAGCAGGAGTCTAGCAGGAGGCTGTGCCTGAAGTCAGTAGATGCCTGGGGACCCTTTGGTGGGGGAGGCAGCCTGCAGGCAGTGCCCACCATGCCATCTAGGTAGCATCGAGTCCAACAAGCTCACACTGGGAAGTACTGATAGGTTGGGGGTTGACCATGGCTAAAGACCAGCAGGCCTGTAGGGGAGCAGAGGCCAGCTCAGTGGACAGCAAGATGGTTCAGGGCAAGTGGCACAGGGAGATCATTGTTATGATTTGTGCCTAGTTGTCCCTCCAAATCCTCAGGCAGTGATGGTGTGGCAGGCTTCTAGAGGTTGTGATCAATTCATGATCAAATGCTGCGATTATGGGTGTGAGGGGTACACTCACCTGGGGGCAGACAGCCTGAACGCAATGTAAGGACGGGAGAGAGGCTTGCTGCCTGCCGCCTCTGCTGCTGCTGGTGGTGGTTCTTTTTTACTCTCTCTGTTTTGCTCTTTTTTACTGCCATGAACTGCTGCCCTCTGCCATGTGCCACCCTACCTTGCAGTCAGCTGATTATGGACTGAAACCTCCACAAACCGTGAGCTAAATAAACTTTTCCTTCCTCAATTTTGGGCATCAGGTATTTTGTCCCAGCAATGAGAGAAAAGTAATGGACACATGCATCATCTGGGGCTAGGTCAGACCTGTCTGCTGTGTCCCTGGGGACAGGTAACTGTGTCTGGGTCACAGGTTAATCAGGGTCCTCTGGAGGGCAGAGCAAGGGGCACGTGAGCTTCTATTCCCCAAGGCCCACTTCAGTGCCTTCCCCTGTACCCACCTCAGGGGCAGGGCCAGGATTTAACATGCCTATGATGCTGTCAGGGTAAAGTCCCCAGGAAGAAAATGCCATCATTGTGGGGTGAGAAGGCAGCATCAGGGCCTAGAGGCTCCACAGTCACGGTCTCCCTGGTGACCTTCAGTGCCACTCCTGCCCCACAACCTGATGACTGAAGAGCTGGTGGCAGCAGAGGAACAGACCCACTGTGCCACTCCTGACTGTGGGAGTGTAAGGGCTGCCAGGAAGAGCTGTGGGTCTGGGAGGATGCAGACCTGCTGGGGCTGGAAGTGGCGTCATCTCCGTTGTCACCCACCTTTCGGATCAGGAGGCTGGAGCAAGGGTGAGTGACGAGGAAGCTTCTCCAGCCCTAGTCTTGGCAGAAATGAGGAAGAAGTCCCTGAGCATTAAGCAACACTCCCAGGCTCCCTGCTCAGAAACAGCTGGACTATGCCCCACTGCTGCACACTGGGGGATTTCTGCTGCCTCTGCTGGGTCCCCAGGGGTCACAGCTTTGGGCACACAAAAGTGACATAGGCTTTGGTACCAGACGTGGCCACACTTCCCTTTCCCCTGTTGTGTGAACGCATCTCACAAAGCTTGCCTAAGACTTAAAAGCTGAACTGTGGTGTGGGACACTGGAACTTCAAAAATGAGTTTCTTTCCAAGTGGCGCTTGGCCGGGCCCAGTGGCCAGCTTCCCTGCACAGCAGCTGCTCTGAGCAACTGGTCAAGGTGGAATATACATTCCCCAGGCCCTCGCGGGCCCAGCAGTGGCTGCTCTGAAACTTCTCCACTGTGTAAACAGCACATCCTCCCAACCACCTCAGGTACCATCCCCCTGAAGTGTGATTTCCACTGTCATGGTCACATGGCCAGTGACAGCCATAGCTGGTTACCAGTAAACCAGAAAAAACCCAGACCACACAATAAAAGATATTTTCACATGAATAGAGAACTGAATCTATCTTATGGGAAAGCTATTTTCTAATATGGGGTTATCTATGCTTCTTTTGTTTATCTTATAAACACCAGTGACCCATACATAGAAAAGTTTGGGTGTATAAAGAATTCTATAAACAATAACCTGCTAGGCATTTATGCATGTGCCCCAAAACGGAGAGCAGGATGACCGGAGGCTGCGCCAAAAGGTCATTTTCCTTTCTTTAGAGCCCTTCACATGAGACTTGAAGGTCGACGAGACCATAATTGGGATATGAACTCTGTTCTCTAAGTTCATGTCCATTATAGGCCAACCCACCTGGCCATAAAATGTGACAGCTTCTTTTCTTATTAACACTGACTGAGGTGGAATCTGCACTGGGCAGTGCACAGCGGTTGTGCCAGGTCACTGGGAGGCTGCAGCAGAAGGCTCACTTGAGCCGAGGAGCTCAACACCACCCTGGGCAACATACTGAGGCCCTGCCTGGTTCTTAAATAAATGCATGAATAAATGACAACAAGCAAAAACTAACACTGAAAATCACAGATTACCCATGAAGATGGTGCAATCCATCTCAGAGACTCAGCAAAGCCAAGTTAGGGTCACAATGACAATACCGTGTTCATCCTGGCAGAGATCTAAAGGACTGAGAATTCTGAGTGCTGCTGGGAAGGGCGGCCAATGGGAGCCCTCCATGCTGCCGACAGGAGCACTCTGGATGCAGCCACGCTGCAGAACAGCTGGAGATGACTTCTTGCACCAACAACTCCACCTACGCCGTATGCCCCAGAATGCATGCTGGGGTATTTTTAGAGGTTTTATCTGTGCTTATCAAAAACCACATGCAACCTAAATGTTCACGGACCATAAAGTGAGTGAATAAATCATACCACAAATCTACTCATAAAACAGAATATGCGAAAGCAACAAAATGAAAACCATGACAGTTACACAAAGTTTCATGGACAGAAAATATATTCCACGATCTTACACACACAAAGTCCCCAAATGTGCAAATGATTGAGTTCAGAGTTGGTAAAATTAAAGCAAAACACAAACACAAAACAAAACAAAAGCCATGCACGCCAGGACATAATGAGCACATGGGTCTAGGAGCAGCTTCTCCTAGATGGACGGGTGTGGAGCGGGTACGGCTCTTCAGGCCTTCGGGCTGTTCAGTATCGTGCTTCTTGACCTGGTGGTGCTTGCTTGATGCGTAATCCCCGAGCTGCATCCAGACAGATCTGCACCTTACGGGTTTTAGAGTTCACAGTCAGCACTGCACAAGGGGCACCAAGACAGGAGGAAATGGAGACCATTTCTTGATTTTGGAAGACAATTCCCACAAAGGCTGAACATCCCCGAGACTCTCCTGTGGAACACATGCTGCTGGCAATCCCTCCGTCCGCCCAGCTCTGTGTGTGCGCTGTTCCAGTGCTCAGGCAACTGGCAGGAAATGAGGGCAGACAAGGGAAACCCACAGGCCTGGCATCTGTAGGTGGCACCAACCAGAGGGCCCAGCCACAGCAACCAGCGACAGGGAGGTAACTGCCAGCTGCAGGTACAGCCTGCGCTGGGCTAGTCTTAATTTATCATATGTGTAAAGTTGGTTTGGAAGCGGCCTCCTGGCTGCTCTTCCTAGCCCTCTGTGTTGCAGAGAAAGCTTGGTGGATATCACGGACACGCACACACGGATGCATGTTCATGCACGCCAGATCTATGGAGAGAGCTGCGGCAAGTCTTTTTTTTTTTTTTTTTTTGTCTCTGCGAAGTTCAGCTTATCAGCAGTGGTCACTGGAGCCCTTACCTATGTTTAAGCACTTTCTTCCAATGATTCCTTTGGAAGAAGTGAACTGACAGACCTGTAGTCTTCTGTTACAAAGCCAGGGATTTGTGGGGTTTGGCCTCAAGATCATGCTGAAAAGTTGTAGCAAGTGGCCTGAAGACAGGCCTCTTGCACTGTGGGCCCCTCCTTGGTGAGAAGCCACAGGTTCCGGTCCCTTGCAGAGGGGAGGACCCCTTCTCTACCCTCTCACGCCCTCAGGCATGAGGGGTGCGTGCTGGTGCTGCTGGGCACAGATGCTGACATGAGGACCAGCAGGAGGTGGGGCACTCGCCCTGGGCCAGTGCTGTCAGCAGAACAGAGGAGGGAGGCACATCCCAGCCCAATAGTTATTCTAGTTGTCTGTCTTTGTGGGACGAGTGGGGAGTTAATAGGCAGGACATCAGGTTGGGGGGCACCTGGAGTTGGCTGGGTGCATCGAGAGAACTTCACCATGGCTGTACAGGGACAGGGCCACACTGTGCAGGGAGGCATCCTCACTGAGAGCCATCAGGCCCAGGGGGCTTATCCAGGTAGGCTAGGGAGACAGAAGAAGAGCCTGGGGGCAAGTGGCACCCTAGACAATGCGCCAGACCACAGAAGGCCCTGCTAAGAGGTTTCATGGTAGGGGCAGGCCAGCATTATTGATGCCTGAAAGATGAAGGAAAATATGTTGGGTACTTTTGTCTCCAAACACAGTAACAAGCTGGGCATGGTGGTGCACACCTATAACTCAAGCACTCAGGAGGCTGAGGCAGGAGGATTGCTGCAAGTTCAAGGCAAGGCTGGGAAGTACAGTGAGTTCAAAGCCAGCCTGCACTACATAGTGAGACCCTATCTCAAAATAAAACAAAATGAAGACAAATAGAAACATTTAGGTCCACTGATTACACTCCATTTAAACACTGAAAGCAAGATAAAGTCAGAACACAGTACGTGTCTGGGACCGTGTTATTCCATCTGCAATACATCTCCCTTTCTAAACATCTTATCCTAACGTCTGTCTGCCCCCTTCTCTCCCCTCTGTCTCTCCTCCCCAGTCTGCTCTAGTTCACCAAGGCGGACCAGGCCACGCTGCCTCTCCAAGCTTTGCAGGGACTCTGCTCACCATCCATGGAGCTAGCACTGCCACCAGCCCACAGCTGCCTTTGAACTCCATGCTCAGACAGGTTGTGATGCTGGGCGCTGACTTACAACTGCAATACCCACATACCCAGTGAACTGGCCCCCTCTGATCAATCCTGACAGCACACAAGACGGCCAACTGAACTGAGCTCTTACTGTGGAAAAAGACACTCATGGCAGCCAGTTTCATTTACTGATAAGTGAGACTGTTCCTCCTGACGGCCACAATTAATTTTTGAAATGTTAGTAGAGCAGAAAAGGTGAGT